AAATGCATGTGAAAACTACCTCCCAGCCCCACGGTAACACCAGGTTAAAGAGGGAACAAGACATTCTCACACAGTGCTGGTGGGGGTATAATTTGGTATCATCTTTCTGGAAGGCAATTTGAGGCAATGTTATATATCAAAAGTTGTAAAAATGTGCACGTCTTTTTGTTGTTAGTCAGGATAGGGTATGTTATGCTGCGGGAACAAATTAACCCTGGAATCCCAGCGATTGTCCCCCTTAAGGTTATTCTGCCTTCACACCACATGTCCACGCCGGGGGGGCGGGGGGGGGAGCGGAGGAGGGCGAGAGGGCTGCTCCACACGGTCACGCCGGCACCCAGGCTGACAGAGGCTCCGCCCGGGGACGTCAGCATTTGCAGAGCGCACAGAGTCTGGAGAACTGCACGTGGGCATCTCGCAGGCATGGCCTGCAAGTTTCCCATGTCCCTCTGCTCCTGTTTCCGTGGCCGGAATTAGTGACAGGACCCTGAATGGCTCTAAGGGGCTGGCGAGTGGAGTCCCCTGTGCGCACAGGAAGGAAAGGAGGAGAGCACTTGTATCGCCCACCACACCTTTGCGGCTGCAAGTCCCACTGTAGAAAAATTTCCTAGGTAAATATTCTGAAGAGTTCACAAAGATGCCAGAAGAAAGGATTTCATCATATCCTTGACTACAACAGTAAAAAACTGGCAATGACCTAAATATCCAAGGTACAACCTAGAGAGGTGTTTAAAAAATGATGAAATTATGTATTTATTGTTATAGAAATATATTCACAATAGAGTGCTAAAAAGGAAAAAGCAAGTTATAAAACAGTATGTATGACCGCATTTCATGAAAAAAGTAATAATACAAATGTGGAGGTATAGAAAAAAAAGTCTGAAAAGATATATACCAAAATGTTAACAGTGGTTATAAACAGAAGGTATAGCACAGGTGACTTTTTCTTTTCATTCATCTGTAGTTTCTTTAAAAAAAAAAAAGTATATATTATTTATGTACCAAAAAGGCATTTTAAAAAGGAAAAAAAAAACCAAACAAACCCTGGTACTCTTGGGAAAGTCGGCTTGTCCACCTCATACTAATCATTAAATTCTTACATTTGATGCAAGTAATGTGCCTAGTTGCCTGTGACATCATAAGACACTGCTACAACAATTTGTTTAGTCAGGACTTATATTAAACCGGTAGCACATTCCCCACAGCTGCAAAGCATCAGACTGTCAATCATCTGCCAAAACATCCCACCGGCTGGACCCCACACGGTGTCTCTGGGCTCCAACCAGGTGCAGCAGGTCGGGGTGGCCTGGGGGACCACTCTTCATAAGGCTCTGCGTCGTCAGAGAGAGTAGGGCACTGTACAATTCCACTCGAAACAAAGGACGCACAAACTCTCCTCATCGACGGATTCCACAACAAATAACATCACCACCGGGGCTATTAAAGACAGCTCTTAGCTACATGTATTTTTAATAAAAAAATATCATTTCTTCTACATGTCCTTGCTACTTCCTCTCCAACACACACACACACACACACACACACACAGTCCTAAATTTATTAGACCATGTCATTCAGATGTCAGATTCTTGCCAAAGCCACCTTGTCTGGCATTTAAAGAGGAACTAGAAAACCCGTAGTCTTGAGACAGGTGTATGGGAAGGGTGTGCAAGTAACACACATTTCCGCACAGGATTCCCTCTGCATGCCATCACCCCCGCCAACCCCAGAATATATAATATTTCTTCGGGGGAAACCATGTAATCAGAAATGACAATCCTTTTAAACCATGCATATCATTTAAAAATAGATATGGACGTTGATTTGCAAGCTTCACGTTTAAACCATCAGCCCTTCAAAATCCAGGGACATTTCAACGAGTGTCAGTGACACAAACAAAAGAATCAACCTTATAAGGGCAGATGGCACAACCAACCCGCTTTCAGTGATTAGCAAACAGCAGTGGCTGGCTCCTTCGTAAAGCAAAGCCTCTTTCGAGGGCCTATTCTAAGTCACATCACGGCTGCTCTCCTTCTGAGAGACCACTGGCCACACGTGGGGACTCCCTGCGAGGTCCCTGGACTACCAAATGGTTGGCTTTAGGGCAGACTTTTCTATGAAAAGGGCTCTTTTTATGGTAAATGGTCTGATGGTGATGCTTCTGGGCAGCACATTAACTATATTCTGTTCCAGCCCCTGACCTGAGGTGTTGCGTCCGATGACTACGCATCAGTCATGGGCCAGCAAACCGCCACCCGAAGGGCTGTGCTCGTGGCCTGCCTGAGCTAGAGAAGTCCACGAGGTGGCTGCAGGTTGGAGGCCATCTGCTCGCTGTGGACCGTCCTGGGGTTGGGCAGGACCTCTTCACGCTGCTCTGACCACTGGGCTGCTGGCTGCTCCCTGCACAGAGCTGGCTCGTCTGGGAAGGGGGTGGGCAGTACACAGTGATCCCCCAGCCAGAACTCAGGTTACTGGTCTGCGGCCTCTGGGCCTCCCACATGCCAAACCAACCACTGCCTCCACTAAAGCCATCCACAAAGAACGCAAAATGAGTCTCTCCCACATCTGGCCTCCGAGAGCACAGACATCATTTGAACCAACACAGTCCTGGAGAGTTGTCTGCAAAATCAGAATCCTTCCATTCTGATCCACTCATTTGCAAAAGGTCATTGGCTGTGGACATGAGTTGAAACAGCATAGCTGCAGCCTGTGCGCTTATCAGAACACAGGAGCATTTTCTTTCTTGGCACCCAAGGGCGACCAAATAGAGAACAGTGGCAGGGCTCAGAGAGGGGCACTAGACGGACGTCCAGGAGACCTGGATGCGAAGCTCGCGTGGCTGCTCACTCCCTGGTGACTCTGGGCATGTCACTTTCTGTCTCTGCCTCCTGTCTACAAAATAGGGGTAATAATCTCTGGTCAGCCCCTCACCAGCTGAGGTCTGGCGCAGGCGAGCAGGGAAGTGATGTACTAACACCACCAAGTGCCGGGTCTTGTGTGGATGCTGATTCTCTTTCCCTGGAAGGCCTGGTCACCTGTCCCAACCTGTCTCTCGGGTGTCTTCCATTCCCTGGACACGAGGAAGAAGAGTTCGTCTCCACGCACCATTCCCAACTCGGCAATGCATCCAGCTGGGTCCTTACTGGAACAAAAGCTGTCTTTAAGGACCATGACGAATAAAGTGCTTCAAGCTTCACTTTGCCTCTTTGAGGGCCCAAGTTTCACAGGGGCAGAAAGAGCGCTAATCCAGCCTCAAAGATGCCAGAGTCAGAAGACATCGTTTGCAAATGAAAACACAGTCCCGGTCCTAAATCTTCCAGCCATACAGCACAGCTGGACGTTTAAGAGTAAAAGGCTTCTGTCCTGCCTACATCTGGCCTAAGACAGCGACAAGCAAAGTGGATGAATTCCACGGGTTGTTTTCACGGCACCGGGCCCACCCTCACCAGGCGAGAGGCTGTTAGACAGGGCCAGTCTCTTGGCTGACTGTCCAGGTCATTTCTCTCAACAGAGAGTAAATGCAGAAACAGCGAGACCTCTAGACGAGAGCAGAGGAGCGTCAAGCCCGGCGCTTTGTGAGGCTGTGCCGTGCTGAACCCGCGTTCCCACCAGAGGAGCCCCGCTGCTCCCAGCCCCGGGGCTGCCACACAGTCAGAGCGGGTGGGCCACCCTGGCACGGGACCTAAGCTCCTCACCTGCTCCCACAAGGTGCCCACCCAACGCTTCGGGGGTTAGGGACACACAGGGACGCAGCAGCCCCGTGCTAACAGCTCTGTCACATCCAGTGTCTTCTACACACTGCCAGGGCACATGAGGGGCCCTAGCCACTCTACCTTCCGATGAACACGCCGCCTGAGCACGCTCCTAGCGGGCACCAGGAGGCCCCCGCTGAGGTTCCGGACTCCAAAACTCCCGGGCAGCCGTGCGCCCAGGCTACTGCCAGGGGAACTGGCCCGACCCAGCGCAGGGCCAGCCGAGCTCTCTAGGCTCCCAGCACAGCCAATCAGGAGCTGCCACCAACTGCCCTGAGAGCCACCGGAGCTCTGGGGGAAGGGGAAGGGCAGGGCCAGCGGCGCCTCATCTCGGCCACCAGGGCCATCCACGCTCTGCGCCGCCTGGGGGCCGTGGACTCAGCCAAGCCGCCCACTCTGCCTGCGGGGTCTCCCCTGAAAGGCCTCAGGGCTCCAGGCCACCAGCTGTCCCTGCCCCCGCAGAGCCCAGACGGGGCCTCCCTGCTCAGCGGGTGTCAGCCACAGGACGTAGAGCAGCAGGCCTTGTACGTTCGCCTTGGGGCCCAGGTCCCGTCTGCGGGAGCCCTGCCCACGCTTAGGCTGCCTTACCCTCCATGCACATCCAGCAGGAGAAATGCTACCCGCGTGAGAACACGTCCACACGAGGAGAGGTTCTCTTCGTGGTACTCAAAGTGGGGAAGGGGGCACCAGGCCCCCTTCACCTGAAAGCGGGTAGAAATGCCTACAGCCAGGGATGCCAACCATTGTGCCAGGCCCGGGCAGGCCCTCCCCAAGAAGGAGGCCAATGGCACCCATGCCCTCGGGGAAACTCTGTGAGGGGCGGGGTGTGTGGCTCCAGTCCCGTCCAGCAGGAACTGAGGGGCGGAGGCAGACCGGGGAAAACTCCCCCGTGGCCGAGGCCCAGCCTCGCCCATTGAGCTCACACTCCCTCTCAGCTGCCCACACCCAACAGCGGATCCCACCCCGGCCCCAGCCTTGGGCAGCCCCGATATTGGGGAGAAGCAGGGGTCCCGGAATCCCCAGGCTCCAGGCTCTCACGGCTGAGGGTCAGGGCGGTCCCAGCATCACCGCCCTGGGGGGTGTGTGTGTGTGGGGGGATCAGACCAGCCTCTTGCTGTCTCCCCGGCCACCCTCCCCGCCACAGGGCCACCGGGCCAAACCAGCGGTTTGACCGCACAGGTACGTCCATGTCTAGCACTCACCCAGAGCACCAAGACGCTGGCTGTTCAACGGGGGACTCTGCTGGGGTTTGATTAAAACACTAAATTCTGTTTATACAGTTTCATTGAACAAATATTTATTAAGCACCTACTGTGTGCCAGGCACTGTGCTGGGCATCCTCACTGCGTGCTGTTCCCACAGCACAGCGATCTGCTCGTAAATTAAAACCAAGAAAAGGCCCATGGCCGCAACCTGACCAATCGGGGGCGGGATGAGAGGGGTGGAGCCGGTGCAGGCAGGCCCTGCCCCAGAAGGCCCTGCCCCAGAAAGCCCTCCCCCCGGGAACCTGTCTTCCTCCTCTGCACGAGTCTGCTGAGCAGCTGCTGAAGAGCATCTGGACACTCACTGAGAGGGAGTTTTCTATCTCCACGCCCCCCGAGGGTGCCTGGTGGACATTCAAATACTCTGGACGCTATTCAAAAAAAGGAGGTGCCAAGGATATTCACATTTGCCTTAGAAAACTTATCTCAGTTTGTGTGGTTGCAACACCTTTAGGAAAGATAGGAACGTCCCGCCCTGACTGCGCGAACGTTTAAGGTAGACCTAGTTCTGGGTTCCTGAGTCAGATCTTCCTGCGTCCACACAACCTCGAAGGGCCAGAGAAGCGCGAGGAGATTTCCATTGTGGACACGAGCGAGAAACACGACCGACGGCGCCTGCACTCACGGAAGCGATGCAAGCAGGAGGGCGCCCTGGCCCGCGCTGTCTCACGCACACACCTGGGCCTCCTGCGGGCCCGGCTCCGCTCGCTCGCTGCGCCCTAGTTGTCGGTGCCCAGCTTGGAGAGGCCTCGGCGGAAGTCGTGCAGGTCGTCGATCTTCCCGTCCAGCACCTCCAAGAAGTTCTTCAATTCTACCTTCAGGTGGCGCTGTCGGTATTTACTCTCCTCAATGTCTGTCTTCAGCGCACGCACTTTGTCCTCCAGGTTTTGATTGTCTCTCTCTGCTGCCTGAAGCAACACAAAAGGGAGGAGAGCCGGGAGAACGGCAATGGGAGTTGTCTGCTGAGAGCCGCTGCACCCGCCCTCCCGTGGGGGGGGCACCCCCGTGCATGTCTGTCCCCCAGCGCACCAGGCAAGGGGCATTTCAGTGTGCCCTTCTTCCCTGCCCGTTCCCTGGCAGAAGCGCCAACAGACACAGTGTATGGCCAGCATCTGGCCTGAAAGACGGTGTTCTTACACAGAACACAGAACTCGGAGGCCTGCCCGGGAGTCCAGCACTGACTACCCTTTCACAAGTGCCCAGCAGAGAAAATCAGAAATCCCAGCACAAGGCATTTTCAGCCCCAGCCCCAGAATGCTCAGCAGAGGACTGTCCAGCTCCATTCTGATAATGTGACCAGTTACTAACACCAGGATTCTGTGCCTGACTGAGGGCTCCTGAGGTGAGGAGACCCTGGGAGGTAAAGGAGGAGGTTAAAACCCTCCTTTTGTGGATCAGAATCTGAGGCCGGTTGCGGGGGGGCAGGGGGGGTCCTGCCCCAAGGTCATGTGCACGGTCACTGGCTGGGGAGTGGTGAGGTCAACTAGCACCCAGGCATCATGCCCTCAGCCCTTCCTTCAGCCCGCACGCCTCACCGCCCGCGGGGTTCTACAGGGGCTTCCGTGGACTGGAAACAGTTGTCTGCACTCTGCTTGTGGCACAGGGTACCTTCGTGTAAGTGGGAAAACCAGAAGACCAATGCCACTGAGCCCTCACCAGGGGGCAGAGGGGGCGTCTGGCACGACCCCTGCTGGGTATGAAGCAAGAGGCCTCGGAGGAAAGAGTAACAGAACAGACGCCCGTCTCAGATCCCCCGCTCATACCTCTAACTTCTCAGAGACGTATTCACACTCGGACATGAGCTGAGGTATGATTTCACTTTGTTTTCGGAGATCTTTCATCTCCTGCAGGAGAGAGAAATTTTAAGAAGAATGTAAAAACAAGTCAGATAAAATGTATTCTTGAAAATCCTCCAGCTTGTGCCTAAAGGACTGGAAGCAGCTTCTGGAACCTGTACTGTCTGCATAAATAATAACGGTGATGACATGAACACTTCACACACACCAGCCTCTCTGAGGGCGGAGCACACTGCGCGCATTCCCGCACGAAGCCTGAACGCCACCGGAACAGATGGTCGTTTTTGGGGTTTCTGCTTTGTAAAGGGGAGACTGAGGCTGAGCAAGGTTTGGGAACTCGCCCATGGTCTCCAGTGCCTGTGTACTTAGCTGTCCTGCTCCCTAGAAAATAAATGACTGTATGATTGCCAGTTCTCCCTGCATTAATTTGACGGCAGAATTCAACTTCTGATGACAGTTCACTAAAAAGACATTTCCAAGTGTTTGGTACAACGTTCACATCCCTCTTGGGTCTGAGCGACTGACCGCATGGTAAGCACAGTGAGGAGGCTGCCGACTCGGGCGTATCTGCGCCTGGCGTGACTCCTGGCTCTGCCTCTGTGCTGATGTCCAGGCTGCTCCCAGGGCCGGTCACATGCCCACAGTCACCTGCTGTGTCTTTGGACAGATATTGCCCCACAGGCCCAGAGGACACCGGGGCGGGGGGCGGGCGCCGTCAGAACCCGGTTACTCACCGTCTCCTTTTCTCGGAGTTCCGATTCCAGCACCTCAATCCGTATCTTCAGCTGTGTGTTCTTCTCCTTCTCTCTGTTTATCTCGCTGCATTGCTCTTCCAGCTCGTCAATCTTGAGTAAACATCACACATTAAGCAGCGATGCTAGTTTCCTTTTGTCAATAAAGAAGAGATCCCCACTGCTCTGTTTGTGCTTTCTTCTCAAATAAGCCAGAAATGAGCCCACTTAGGTCTCCTCAGGGGGCAGCCGCAGGACCGGCTGGCCCTTCCGGCAGGAGGCGCCTCTCTCACGCCCGGCAGAGCCAAGCCAGTCGCCGCGCCCAGCCTCCGGAGGCCCTGGGCTTCCGGCTTCTCTCACGGCCACAGGACAGATGTCCTACGCCTCTATCTGCTTCTCCCCAGAATGATTTTACATCTTTTTAATCACACCCTAAATGATTCTGTTTCAAGGGTTGAAGCCATCAGGGCGGGCAACGGAGCACTGTGGGACAGTGGCCACCACATGGGGCATGATGACATTTCAAGCGTTTGAAATCACGATGACCTTTCCCTGCTGATGCGCCCGGAGCGTGGCCTGCGGGCCTCTTCCTGGGGGCAGCAGGCGTGCCAGCTGAGCGGCAAGTCCCCAGTGCGCACCTTTTTCTCCCTCCCCAGCCTGACCCCTCAGGAGAAGGGCCACGGCTGAGACCCCGGGCACTGCCGTCTGATGGTGTTTTGGGGGACCACAGTGCGTGCATGCAGCGTAGACGGTAGGAGTGCCGCCTGAGTAACACAGAAGTGCCACGCTGATGGGGTCCCCACGGCGGCAACAGCTGTCCTCCAGGTGAGCACACCGGCGGTGGCAGTGGGGTCGCTCCCCAGAGGGGCCTGCACCAGCTCTCGGGGCATGAACCCCAGCAAGGAGCGGCTGGCGGTGCCTCAGCCCCGGAGATGAGTCCCCAGGGCTTCCCCGGGGACCCTGATGCGCCATTGGAGCACCGCCTCCACTCCCGGCCCTGCTCTTCAGTTCTTTTCCCTCAGGGCAAACTGGCTCTGCTTCGGGAAGGGGACAGAGGGCAATCGATCCCTCTGGCAGGCAGACCAGCCGCCCGTGAGGGAGCCTGCAGAGTCAGCACTTGGCCCGGCGCCCCTCGCTGTCAGCAGTCTGGGCACGGAGATGAAAAAATGACGCGAGGCAGTTTTCTGTGCCATCTGCACCGAGTAAGATGGCAGACAGAGCCGTGGTCTCCAGCGGCTCCACTCAGGGCAGGTGGGGAGACCACGGGGCGGGGGGAGGAGTGATACCAACCGATGTCAACGGGACGCGTGCCCCTGAAATCCCACCCTTACCAACCAGACGGTGTTCACAGCCTGTGGCGTAAACATGCTGACCATTAAAACACGGTCCGCACAGCGGCCTCGGGGGACTCTCCGGCCACCCCGCACTGCCTCCTCTATTCAGCCCAACCACAAAGAGTGTGCCTGACTATAGGGAGGACTGTGGCGAACGCTGAAAAATTCAAAATGCTCATGTGTCAAGGGAGGTGGCGGCAGGCACAGGTCGGCGGTCGGCTCCCGCTTCAAGGGCTCCCGCTTCAAGGGCCAGATTCCTTTTGTCACCTCCACAGTCACATGCCGGGAGACAGACTTGGGCGATGCAGGGTTTCGGAGCGAACGCTCCTCACTGCTTCCTGAATCTATCTTCCTCACTCACCCCCTGGATCCCCTTCCGCACCTCGGATCACCGGACCGCGGAAAATGCCCAGGGAGGGCCACCCCCCCCCCCGAAAGGGCCAACCCACAGCGGGCATCGGTGGGGGGGGGCTGTCCGCGAGCGGCAATGCTGACGTCTCCCACTTATCTCCTCCTTTGCAATAGGAATTACAAAAGTTGGTTCAATAAAAGTGATAAATCAGTTGCCGAGACGGAGGGAGGTTCAAAGTGGGGGGCGGCAGGCCGTCCTCCTGCCGGTGGGGATGAAGGCGAGGTGGGGGTGCGGGGGAGGAGCCCGGCCGCCCCCCCGCCCCTCCCGCTGGCCGTCCCCGCAGCTCCCCCAGCGCCCACCTTGTGCCGCAGCCGGTCGTTCTCATCGCGGCAGATGGAGAACTGCCTCTTCCACTGCTCCACGCTGGTCGCGGACTCCTGCAGCGCCGTCGTCAGCCGGGCGTTGCTCTCCCGCAGGGTCTGCAGCTCGATCTCCCATTTCTTCACGTTGGCAGCGCTGCGAGGCCGAGGCCAGACGGTGACCGGGATGGCGGGGGCCGCCCGCCCCCCTGCCCCCTACCCGCCTGGGGAAGGGATCCTGCTGCCCGCTCTCCCACCCATGGGGCGGCTGGGCAAACAAGAGCCAGGAGGGCCTGGCCTCTCTCTTTAGTGCAAACCCATCACCTGGCCGGGCTATGTTCTTAAAGCACCGCTTTGCAAAAGAACAGAATCCTTAGAGAAGGAAGAGAGGAGGCTCAGCATGCAGGCCCAGAGCCAGGGCGCCCTCCTGCCCGCTCGCCGCTGAGCCCTGACACGAGCCCCACGGACAGAGGCTCTGCGCTCGGCGCCCACGGGGCCCCCAGAATCTCACGAAAGCTCCTGGCCCCTCATGACAAGTTCCTGCCACCGACCTTGGAGCCTGAGGACCCTGGGTTTCACAAACAGGTGACGGATGATGCTCCCACTGTCCCCTGCACCCCCGCAGAGCCTTTAAAGGAACCCAGGTTGGAGAGTCGGGGAGACAGTGACGGGGGCTCCCCTGCGGGCAGAGCTGGGTTCCCACCACAGGCCTGAGGGACCCCTCCACAGCACCACAAAAAACCCGGGTTTTTCGTTGATTTTATGTGTTCAGTGAAGAAGTCTTTAAAAACAAACAAACTGGAGTCAGGTTGCCCTCAGGCGCCGTTTGCTCTGGAGGCTCCGTGTGTTTCTGTGTGCCAACTGTGACCTGAGGTGACAGGCAGAGCCCGCACGGGGAGCCATCCCTGCGCGCGGCCTGGCTGAGGGGACTTCTGCTTCTAGAGTCTTTTTAAAAAAGTAAATACAGCTGCATCTGAATAACCTGTGTTATCTTTCATCCCACAGCCTCAAGGACCTGGGTATGTGATAGGAAAATGTATACTTTCAGTTTCAAACAATACAGACTGAAAAAACAGAAAGTATTATTATCCGATTAATTTCAGGACTGATGACTGAGGACTTAAGCTGATTTTGGGAAATGGCTTCATCCCCATTCCTGTAATTCACTTCTCCATTCAACTGAGATTTCAAAACATTTATTTTTAGGGCTGAAACGTTTTCATTCAGGCAGCTCACTGTGACTTAAACAACCAAAAATAGTCCTCATAATCGCCTGATGAGTAAGAGACTGGCCACACTTCTGTCCTTTGAAATACCTGACAAACCCACAATCCAAATATGGTGGCAGGGTCTAAGGGTCACAGTGCTCTCTAGAATCTGAGGTCAGGTCCCAGGAATTGAGCTCCAAAGACAGGCCAGGCCAGCCGAGCTGAGAGGCGGGCGCCAGCTCACTGCGCTGGGCGGCCAGGCAGAGCACCGCGCGGAGCCAGCTGGCCTCCTGGGCCGGGAGACAGGCCGGTCACTCCCGGTTTCCTGAAACGCTGCCCAGCAGGGACGCTGTCTTCAGGGAGGCGCTGGGGTGGGGAAAACAGCCTCCAGACTTCACACCCCCTTACCTTTGGGTCAAAGCGATCTTCAGCTTGTTGTTCTCGGACTTCAGGTGGGTCTCGGCAGGGCCCGCGTGGGAGGCCTTTTCGTCGTCCGTCCCGTTGACACTGGATGCCTGCGTGGAAGACGGGGTCTCACACCCAGACTCCCGGCCAAAGTAAACTACCTTACACGTTACTGCAAGTCCTTACAGTGGCCGCAGGTCCGGCATAAGGAGAAGCTGTTTCTGAGTGTGGGACAATAATTCATCTGACCAACTCGTCAAAGACGATCAAGAACAAAGGACAAAGCCCAGGAGGGCCCACATGAGTTCAGAAGTCTGTGCACTTCAGGGGCAAGAGAGCACCGGGGGCCGTTACTCAAGGCCGCTGCACTCACACCTCCCAGATAAGCCTGATGCGCTTGGATACCTAGTGTCTGTCCTTAACACAGGCAGAAGCCACACACTAAAAGAAGAGGAAAGATTTATAATAAGGAACAAGAAACTGTGAGTGAGGAAAGAGAAAAACTATTACAAGCTGACACAACTTAAAAATCCTGGGGCTACAGAGAGTAAGATCCATATATTCATTAAAATAACAGGAACTAGATAGGGACATCTGCTGTCTCTGTTATTACTTAGCATTGTTATGAATGTTCTGAGATGTTTCTTTAGTAAGTCGTCTCACATGGTGGTGAAATCCCGTCTGGTCTTGGGTGAGATCTCAGCAAGATCGTATTTAGCCTCCAATAAGCATAAAGGCAAAGGAAGGAATGATGAAGGGACAGATGTATAAATTTCACTAAATTTACATTGCTGCATTGCAAAAAAAAAAAAAAAAGCCATATAAAAAATTAAAATGCAAACAAAAACCTGGAGAGATAATCTGCTACTAAATATTTGCAGATACTAAAAGTAAAACGTTAATACTGTTCCCATATTGAAAAACTCTTAGGAGAGAGAGCACTTATCTTTTAGAGCTACACACAGAAATACTGATGGATGAAACGACGGGATATCTGCGATTCATTTTAAAACTTAGGGGGAGGTGGAAGGAGAGCCAGATGAAGCAACTGGTTGTAAATTCCTAACTGTTAGAGCTGACCGATGGGCCCGTGAGGGTCCACTACAGAACTCTCCCTGGCTTTGTACGTGTTCTAAAACATCCATGTTAAAAAATAAAGTTCTCAGCCCTGACCAGTGTGGTCCGGCTGGTTGGGAGTCATCCCACAAAGCCAAAGGTCGTTGCGATTGACACTTACAGAAAACAATGCACAAATCAAATAACATGAAAAATATTAATCTGACTAGTATAGAAATACAAAATGAAAAGGGCCAAGAAAATAAATTTTTCTTCTGTTAAATCAACAAAATTGTGTTAATAAGGGTGTGGGAGGAAAAAACTGCTCTCCTTCATGCTGGTGGGAGTTAGAACTGCGCATTTCTCCCATTAAGTCTGCAGTGTTCATCAAAAGCTTTTAAAATATCCCTCCTTTTAATCCAAAACTTCCACTTCAAGAACTTATCTGCACAAAGATGTGCCAGAATGTTCATCACAGTGTTATTCATAGCAATAAAAAATTAGAAACCATAGAGATGCCCCAAATTATAGGATGTGAATGGAATAAGCTCCGACACAAACACACACTGAAATACTGCCCAGCCATTACACTAGTTTCACAAAGAGATATTTGAAGACCTAAGGAAATGATCAGGACATAAAGTGAAAGAAGTGATCGAGAAAGTTCCTGTCTACCCGAAGTCTCATATACATTCACTTCCGTAAATCCACATGGGGCACCTTTTATACAATGCGCCCAGGACGAGGTGGGGAGGCTGTACCTCAAGACAGGCCAAGCTCTGCCTTCAGGGAACGCCTGAGCCACCCACCTCCTGTCCCAAGCGCCAGTCAGGGAGGCTGACCGACCCAGGGCTCCCCCTGGCATTCTCTCCCCTCTCCTCTGCAGCACGGCGTGCTCAGTGGGCTGCGTCCTGGGGTTCAGTGATGGCAGGACTTCTTTTCTGCCTTTGCTGACTTCGGGGTTCATTTCCCAAGGCTCTGGCTCTAGCCCTCCTCTCCCCACTGCTTCCTGGTGCACCTGAGGCTTCAGCTATTGCGTCTGCGAGGCTGTCAATCTTAACCGTCCGAGGAGCCCAGGCCTCCTGGTTCTCTTCCTGCCGGCTGCCCCCTCATCCATCCCTCCCCCTTCAGGCCGGTGGCTGCCCCGGCTGGGCCGCTCTCCACCCCACAGCCTCCTCACTGGTCCTCTGTTGCACACCTGCGTGTAACCCTCATGTCAATTCCAGATCAACCGTCATAAAACGCCTCCAATGCCTGCTAGTTACTCAATAATAAATAATCAGATTAAAAACTAATGAATAATAAACTGCCTTCCACTGAAGAATTCCAGGTCTTCCGCGGTACCTCCGAGTGCCTCTCTGGCCCTCCTGGCGGCCTTGCGGCCTCATCCCCGGCCCCGCAGCCTCCTGGCGACCCTGCGGCCCCACATGCTCCATCCCAAGCCCGAACCGTTGCTCCTGGCGCCTGCCTGTCCCTGGCTCCACACAGAACCTTGGCACTGGGTCAGGCCTTCTGCCCCCCAGCACCTACACCCGTGAGACATCAGGAAAGTGGCGTTTTTATTTCAGGTAAAAATATGTCCATCTTAGTCATTCATCACGCTTGGGAAAGCACATCTCCTTCGGCTAAACTAGGGCTGTCGGAAGTGCATCTCCCCCGACGTCTGTTCGAATAGGGGGACGGGGACGAGGGCTCCCTGGCCCGGGCACAGGCGCCCCCTCGTCAGCGAGCATCCTCGTGCAGACCCCACAGCCCACGAGGGGAGGGGAACGCTGCCCTGCCTCTGGGATGGAAATGGTGGCCAGAGAGCGTCTCTCCGGGGCCAGGGACGTGCATTACCCGCATCTCAGCAACCGCTGTTTCCTATCAAAAACTCATCACCACACCCTGAAAAATTCAGGAGTCTCATAAACGCACGTCCTGTATGCCTCAGTGTGAGCAGGCCAACAGTCCAAAGGCCTTCAAAATGCCCTGCTGCGAAATTCCCTCTTTCCTGTCAAAGTGGCAGGGAAGAAAATCTCCATCACGAACCCCTCGGATTTATTTCAGGGACAAATCGCTCACCTGAGAATGGCTGCTTGAGGTTTCGATCTTCTCCTGCGACTGGTCTCTGGCTCGTCGGGAAGCCTCTTTCACCTCCTGGAACTTCTCTGCAAACTGAGCACGAAGGACAGTTGTTAAAGGCCTTCCTAACCTTATCTGTGGCTAATATTCAGAAACCACCTTTCTTATTTTGCATTCGTTTTAGGCCAATGGATTCCGTATGAACCCAGGAGAAGAACTTTACCTGAGATCAAAAAGGAAACGAGTATAAGGAATGCTTCTTCCAGTAAATGCTATCGGCCAGGGTCCGACCCAAAGCACCTCAGAGGCTGCTGAGGCTTAGTCGGACTGAAGAAGGACCAAAGCAAACACCTCTGGTTAACAGTAACCAATATGAATGCAAGAAATGAAATTCAGTTGTACCACAGAAGGAATCCGTGAAAAAATGCATAATGTCTCTGGAAAGACCCACGAACAAGCAATGTACTGAAAACCAAAGACATCCAAAGAGTTGGGAAGAAGGAACTGTTCTAGATTTTAAATGCAGAAGATATAAAATACCAAAAGGCAAAATAGCAACAAGTGACAGGTGGTCTATGATTGCACCTTGTTTTGAACAGACCAACTATAAAAACTTTCGGGCAACCATTGGGGACATGTGACCAGGGACTGGTGTAGAGGACATCAAGGAATTACTATTAATGTTATGAAAAGTACTAACAATGTTCTGGTTATGTTGGAAAATGTCATTCTTTTAGAAATAAATTCTGAGGTATTTAGGCATGAAATGCTTTGATGTCTGTAACTTAAAGTACTTCAACAGCAACAAAACAGGTAAAGAAATGGGGCAAATGTTAACAACGGGGCGATCTAGACATGGGTGTTCATTATACTATGCTCCCTCATTTTAAGAAAATGCGTTAATATTTTCATAATAGAAGAAGTTCTCAAAAATCCCAGGACAATCACACCAATCACAGGCTTACAGTCATGACAAGGCAACTGATTTCAATTAGCACGTACATTGTTCAAACAGAACATTCTGTGACAGACAGTGCTGGCCTCACAAAGACCGAGCGCCACATGTGGTTGCTGAGAAACGAAAGGAGCCTGCAAGCCGTAGGGCTGCTGACAACCCTGTGGCTTTTGCTAAGGACGCACTCACTTCTGAGCACAGGCTCCCTCCGAGCGTGTTCACAGGCCAACCGCACTGGTCCGCTTGGCAGGCCCATGACGAACGCTGGTGGACCCGCTGCGCTGGTCGGAGGCCGAGGGCTGCGGAGGAGGCGAACGAGCCAGGAAACAGAGCCCTGCCAGGCTTGGACAGGACAAGTCGCCCGTGGGCTGAGCTTAGGGCCTCCATTCTCTCTGTCCCCTGCCACCTTCCCCTGAACATCCCCACATGGTGAAGACCTCAGCGCAGCTCTCGGAGGCCCAGGGCGCATGTCTTCAGCTCCTGTGGACTCTTCTGCCTGGACCCCAACCCCGGCACAGTGGGCCCTGCCGGTGTCCCCCAGTTCTTGCCGTGGGTGCTCACACTTGCCCCTCTTCCCGCCAACCTTCAGCACAACCTCACCTGCTTGTTAAGGGGTTTCATGGCTTAACACACATTTATTCTTTTGCCTCTCACTGCTCCTCTGCAGGACAGGAATTCTCCTGGGCAGCTTTGAAATAATAATGGACCTAAGCGAGGTTAAGACTTGCCCAGGGTCAAGGAAATGGTAAACCTGAACTCAGGCCCACAGGGTCTGACTTCCCCATGATCGCCGTACGCACTCGGGAACCTCGCTGGGCCAACGGGAATGCCAAGCGTCTTGCCCACAGCAGTTGCTAAATATTTATTAACTGGATTTTCCATTTGCAAAGAGAAGTCCCTTTACCTTACAATGGAAAATAAAATTGTACTCACTTGCTCTTCAAAAAATATTTACTTATAAAAGCTTTAACTCCAAAACAGGCCACAGGAATCTTTAAGGCAAAGACAAGGTCTGAGGAACAGAATACCAGATATGGAGCCAGGGCCCCCAGTGACGAGTTCTGGTTTTACAGCTCTCCTCAGCTATGTCATTTAACTGTTCTCCTTCTCAGTTACAAAAGTGAGACCACAAACAACTGTCACGCATACGTCAAAAAACACATCCTACAGGACTTCAAGGTGATAGTGGTATGATAAATAATAACAGCCTACAGCATCTCAAAAAAGTGGAGAAAGGACATGGAGTTCATGGCTCATCGGGATGAGACGGAAGAGGGAAAGCCTCACCGCACACACAGCGACCCTCGGCACTCTTGCTGCCGTCCGTGTACAAACGGGCATGGCAGTGTCACACTGGGACTGGACACAGGCAGTGTGATGCCAGTGCTGGACGCTACGGCGCCCCATGATACGCCTGCCTAACTGCTACCTGAGCTAAGCTGTCCAAACCTGGCCTTCTAAGAGTAGGCAAATGAACCACTCTGAACCTTGGCTTCCTCATCTCTGAAACGTGAGTGACAACACTGCCCCGCAGGTCACTGCAGGATGGGAGATGGGCTTTGCTGGGCATGTGACAGGTTCAGCAAGGGGGAGCAAGGCTTTGCTGGCCTGGATCTGCCTCCTTTCTCCATGTGGATATGATGGCTCGGGCCTTAAAAACATGAACGGTGGTAAATGAGCTCCACAAAAGGGCAAATGCATTCATTCAGGAGAATCTACTAGTTTCTCTATGTGCTGGGGACTCTGAAAGAGTTGGTTCCTGGCCTCTAAGGGACTTCAAGTCTGTGGAAGATTATGTTTTTCATTCAAGTGGGTGATAATTTTTAAAAGTCATAAAACAAACATAAAATGTAATGAAGCAGGATAAACCCAATCAGATAAATTTTTTTAAAAATTGTCACTTAGAAAGATGTGGTATTAGCACATGTATAATAGAAACAGGCCCTACATTTACATAAAATTTAGCTTATGACAAAGGAAAAATAATAAGTTAATGGAGAAAATTATTCAACATACAATTGAAATAACTTTGGTAAGCTGGGGCAAAATGAACTTAAATCCTTACCAATGGGTTAAAGGGATGAGTAGTTTCAAAAACTCAAACCTTAAAAAACCTGCATGCAAACAGAATTGAACATGTATCAAAATTCCGCTGAAGAGATGAAAGGGTAATTTTCTAAACTTGGGAAAAAAAATTTAAAAAAAAACACATAGGTGACAGATTTGATGCCATAACCATTGAAAGCTTTTGACTCTAAAAGGAGAAAGACTCACGGGGAAGAGAAACACGCCTGGGGAGACATGGCAGCTCCAGTAAGACGACAGGAAAGGGGCCGTTATCCTCCGCACAGGAAGGGTTTGTGCAAATTTCTGGTTTTAAACTGTAAGAGAAGCCTTATTTAGAAAGCCACAGAGGTAGTAGAAGGGAGCCAGCTGGGCTGCGTAGGCTCAGGAAACAAGTTAGAGAAGCAGAAGAAAGGGCCCTGGGGCTTAGGAGAGGGGAAGGCAACGGTAAGGCGCCCAGGGGAAGAAGAGGGCGACGGGAAAGGCGCGGGCGCGCTCCCAAGAGAGGGAGCGCACCGTGGGTGTACGCACCGAAAGGGAGACCGTGAAAACCCCAACAGAGAAACGGCCAAACTCCTGAATAAAAAATACAAAGTAAGCAACTTATAGAAAAGATTGCTCAGCCGTGCTGAAAATGCAAATCAAAATAATGAGGTCCCATTCTTTGCCTGCTACAGTAGCAACCACTAAGTACAATTATAATACTCGGTGCTGGCAAGGTACTTCCGTCAGCTCTACGTACAGCCCCCTGAGAAGCAATTTGGAAAGATGTATCATGAGCCGAAAAAATACTCATGCCCGCTGACCTAGTGATAACACTTCTGGGAAACGAGGCTATGATAATAATGGAGAATATGAAAAAAGGCCTTCGATCGATTAAGATCTGAGATTTATTGGTAATAATTAAAAATTGGAAGCAATCCACACACCCGGAGAGACGCTCCCCGCACAGCCTCCAACGGCTCGAAGAGAAGCGCTTGTCCCTGAGAGGTGCCCGATGGCTTCCCTCTGCCAAAGCATCCCCCCCTTATTAATAAGAAAGCACCTGTGTGCTTATACATTTAGAAGGTATAGCTTAGAAAAAAGCATTTTAAACCTATAGTCCCATCACCCGGATATAAACAGTAACCGCATAAACTTCTGATATTTTTCTATCTGTAACTATCCCTCTGTTACACATATTTCTTTTTAAAATGAATTTATATTGTATCTCATTTTATAGCTACTTTCAAAACTAACAGTATGGCATTAGTATTCCCATGCAATTACACGATCTTCTATTAGATCATCTGGATTGCTGTACAGGATTATCCTGAAGGACATGCTGGAGTCTATTTAGCTAATTTCCTGCTGCTGGACATTTAGGGTGATTTGGGTTTTTGGGTCTGTTATAAATGATGCTGCAAGGAAAACCCTCATGGCTAAATCTCTGTACTCAGTTATAATTATTTCCTTAAAATAGATTCCTGTAAACAAAACCCATGGATAAAAGGATATTCAAACCACAAAGGTTTCTGAAATGCAGGCCAAATTCTCATGTTTCACTTATTAGGATCATTTTCTGCTGCGGTAATGTAATAATTTTAATCAAAATAAAAATCATGATTATCATCATAGGAAATGAAAGGGTACTACTTTATTTTATTTGTGGCTTTTTGGGCCTTGGCCACTGAAGACACTATGGCAGACATTACTGAGTTGCTTAGTCAAAGTCCATTTCTTTTTTTCCCCTTTAGCTTCACAGAACCTCAGATTTCTCTGGAGCAGGAAATGTCCTAGGTGACAAAGAATGAGAACTGGTCTAAGCTGATCGTGGCAACCCAAGACCGGCAATGGGACCCACAGAGAAGTCTGTCTGTCAAGGCAGTTTCCAGGGAAGCTGGTGTGTTACCACCCTTCTCCCTCCTTCCTCTTGCCATGAATGCAGGGACAGAGCGGGAGAAGTCATCTTATCATCATGAGGGAAAGGCCGGTAAAGAGAAACAAACAGAACACACAGAGTCCTCAGACCCAACGGCTAGGAGCCACTGCGCGAATGCCGGCAACCACGTGCCTCCCGGCTTCTCTTCTGCATGGAAAGAGCAGCTCTCTCTGCTTAGGCATGTGAATAGTTTCAGTTACCTGCAGCCTAAGCATTATAACTAAAACATCGAAAGCATCAATACCTCCCCCTTTAAAAATGGCCCTTAAGTTAGGAGACAGGAAGGTATGAACCAGGGCAACTTTCTTACAAGAACACCGACTTAAAGTGAACATGAGCAGCCCTGTGTGGCGTGGCTCAGGGGGTTGGGTGGGGTGGGGTGTTGTCCCCCAAAGCGAAAGGTCACCAGTTTGACTCCTCTAAAGACTGAAGAAATTGTTCCAGGCAGCCAGCACATGCCCGGTCCCTGGCTGGGAGACATGGGAGAGGCAGCTGACCCATGTTTCTCTTGCACATCAATGTTTCTCTCTCTTTCTCCCTCCCTTCCCCTCTCTCTTAAAATAAACAAAATCTTTAAAAAAATAAATAAAAAATAAAGTGGACACGAGGGTACACATCTGAATGACAGAGGAAACAACTGGAATGCGTCGAAAGCAGACGCCAGCGTGTGCCGGGCTCTGAAGGACCCCCCGCGCAGCACGGGCACCCCTGTCTGCGTCCACCCCTTCGCGGCAGACGGCGCTCCTTCCGTCAGCCCCGGGTGTGCAGCCAAGCCCCCGCGGGGACCTCTCACGGTCAGGCGCCGGAACAACCTGAACTCGAACCCCTGGCTCGCTCTCACAGCTGGTCCTCCGTCCGCAGGCCCCCTCCTCTTGTCGGAACACGCACGTGCCCCTCGGCCTTCTTCAGGAGGCTGAGCTCTCACGTCCTCCCCCGTGGGTGGGCAGGCGAGTCCCGGGTTACCTCGGGGAATACGTTGCCGCTATTATTTTTGGAAAGCCCGTCTAAAGAGCAGAGGGTGTCCCTGGAATACGTGCTGGCTTGTGGTGGGAAGCGGTCCTTATAATGGAAGCAGTAAAGATCAAAGAATCTATTTTCTTTCTGGGGGGTGGGGAGAGAAGTGTGACTAAACGTTCTTAAATGAGAATATCCACACCAGTGTTCCTTTTTCTAGTGCAGTTTTAGTGTTTGAGTACCAAGTCCCCTTTCAGGTCTGTGGGTGGCTGCTCTGTGGAGTCAGGAATATCAGCCGCAGCTGTCCCCTCAGCAGCCTGCCTTGGGAACCCTTGAAGCCCATGTTCCCCTTTGCTGGTTAATTGCCACTTGCCGAGACTGCCAGCCTCACTTCGTGACAATTTATCAGCATGTGGTTAATCGTTCTCTTCAAAGAGAAGGGAAGAGTTGATTGGAAACATTCTGAACCAAGGAGACATCTGAGTGCTTATCTGATAAGTCTTTGACAATGGCAGGCCTCAGCCACGGAGGTAGGTGGAGTGACTCAGGAGGACAGGCGCTCATCCTTAAGGACAGGACATTTTCTCCTGTCGGGGAGAGATTGCAGTGGCCGCGCTTGGAAGCAGGCGCAGCTTACGGCCTCTCCAGGGCTCAGAGCACAAAACCCTGAGCTCTCACCAGGTGCTCGGACTTCTGTTTTGAGTTCTTCCTTCACTCTAGTCTTTTCATTGAAACTTCCCCCTTTATGCTTCCTACTTGGATTCCTCCAAAGAATGAAGAAATTGTTCTGGGCAGCCAGACATGATTCTCTCAGGCCATCCTGGGTGTCTGTGAACTCAGGCCCTGGGCGGGACCCAGGGCGTGTGACCTGAGGTGGCCCAGCTAGGACCTCGTCTCTGACAGGGGCACCCCTCTCGCCCTTCCTAGGGGTCTGGGGCTCCCACCCAGCCAGGCTGACATGAGGCTGGTGTGGGAAGGGGCCCCTTGGCAGGGGAGGGACTGCCTCACCCCCGCCTCCCCCCACCAGGCACTAATTTGGATGGAAAGGTACCGGCAATCCTCACAGCCCACTTCAGACAGAGGCTCTGGTAGCATTTTTTCAAGAAATCACCACCATACTTCATGTATATTTCCCCCGATTCTCTTCATTTCAAAAAACAGCATCGCTTTCCTCCCCGAGGTCTGGATTTTAAACTCTCCCTTGGATTTCCTGAGCTACTCTGACATTCTTCCAACAAGTTCCCATGTCACACAAACGAGCCAGTCTTGCTTTCAATGAATACATTCTTAATAGCTACAGCGGGCCCTTCAAGCATCCTCAAAGGAAGCCTACTTTCCTAAAACAAGCTTTCGGCTTCTCCCATCAACTGGGGGAGGCCTCTCGAGAGACTGTCAGTTTGTCCCCTCGGGCCTTGCGACCTCCAAGGCCATGGTCACGCATCAGGCGCTCCTCCACACCTCTGACCACCTGCGCGGTGTGTCCTGGATCCCACAGGCGCGAGCAAGGCTATGAACCCCCTCCCTGGGAAAGAGCAACACACACACAAAACGCCGTGTGACCTCTAAATGGTGTGGGTTGGAACTGCTAGTAGGTGTCACCCTTCTCCCTGTCCCTAGGGCTCCAGCGAGAGTCAGCGACGTGGACGGCCCCAGGGTACAGCGGCCGACACGTGGGGCAGCAGTGGCCGTCGGAGCTGCTTCCTGGTGCTGCCACCTCAGGCTCTGAGGCAGCCTTTGTCAGCTGTGCTCTCCTTCCCCACACGGCGTCTCCATCTCGAGGAGCCTGGAGTTTCCTAAAGCTCGTCTGGCCGGCAGCCCAGCGGTGCCCGGGGCGGGACTGCAGGCAGAGAGGAGCCCTCCTCCCCAGGGCACGGCTCAGCCCCTCAGCGCACGCCCCACACTGCGGAAAGGACCACGTTCATTACCTTTGTCAGCTGCTGCTCTGACGAAAATCCCAAACCGAACACCGTGTTGGCTCTGCTGTCAGCCCACTGCCCAAACTTCTGCGACGTCTTGGTGAAGGTCATGTTGGGTGTGATTGTGCTGTTTATAATCACCTGCAGGAGACCAGACCAGAGAGCAGAACGGTGAACGCTGCGTCGGACGCCAGAGGGGCTCCTCCAGAGTCTGGGGCTGGCCAGGCCAGGGCCTAACGCTTAAAGCAGGGGCCGCCGGCCTCCGGACTCTGTTCATCCCTGTGACTTCTTCCTCTGCGGGCACCTCCCGTGACGGGGGGCCGGGTCAGAGACTCAAAAACAGACTGTCAGACTACAGTAAGACCTTACATGTTCCCCATGGGAAAAAGTCTCTCCTAAGTATAGTTTCCAAAACTGCTTTTTATTTCCCCAAAGCTGCCATGTCACATGTTCTCTGAAAAAAAAACATGTACCTTTTTAAGTACTTGGTGCGCCAGTGCCCTGCTCAACCAACCTAAAGTCTCCATAAGCAATTGGGGCTTGCTGCCTCCCAACAGGAAGGAAAGGATACACCCCAAAAGGGACAATTTTTGGAGGGCTGGTTTACAGAGAGACTATTCACACAGGTGTGGGCTGGGTGTAGGGAGCTGTGAGGGACTGTGTAGGGACCTCGCGCTGGCCATGACTCCTCATTGGCCTAAAGGTAGAGACCTCACAGGAGGGGAGCCAGCGAAAGAAACACCTCGCCTCCCTCCCTCTGATCTCCTGCCATCAGCCAGACCCAGCCAGAAGCCAGAGGCCCTGGGGACACAGCGAAGCAGCCTGCAGGTCAGCCCCTCAGTGGCCAGAGCAGGGTGCGGGGGGGCGGGGAATGGACCTGGAGGAGGAAGCGGACCACATCCAGCACACAGGGCATTCGTTCGTCCAGCACACACTTCCCGAGCATCTGCTGTATGCTAGGCATTCTGCCAACCAAAGGCACAAAGATGAATGAGTCCAGGTTCCTGCTTTTCCAGTTGCAGGCGGTCAGGAAGAGGGTAGACACAGGTAAGGAGTCCCCGAACAATCGGTGTGTTGTAAAGTACCAACAACAGGCTCACTCAGGCAGAAGTCCTTGAAAGCCCTAAGACTCTAAGAAACGCTCGAGAAAAATGCCCTTGGACAGCGGGATCCTCGGATGTTTGCTAACCAGCAGCGCTCAGTGCTTCCTTCCTCGTCATGTGGTTTCTGAGCGTCGGAGCAGGAGGAGGAGCAATCTGAGTCAACACTCTAAAGAGCAAATTTACTAGCAATTTTTTTAACTAAAGCTTTATTTATTCTCCACAGTGAACTCAGAATACTCTTTTTTAATGGATAAAACAAGGAAGAGAAAAAACTTTTGAATGGCAGACCCTTGTTCTCCTTGGTAGGAACTTTGGTCAATCAATTTGCTCAAGGATAGGCCTTCTGGACAGATTCCTACCTTAACTAATAAAGATATCAGGGCAAGAAGTTAGAGTTGTCACTAGTAAAAGTGTCAGTGCAATGTATGTACACAAGAGCCTATTGAGTTTGCCAGTGAGTGTAGGAGGCACCTGCAGGGTCTGAGCAAAGCTGTGCCAGGATGAGAGCTATGGCCTTGAGACAAAGTATTAGGCACAGAAAGGTGTGAGACACAAAAGACAGGCTCCTCTGGCCAATCCAAAAAGGAACGACGTTATGCTCTTTCTTTTCTTTTTTTTCTTCCAACCTTCCTTCCTTTTTTTTTTTTTTTGCTCCGGTGCTTGAGAAATGAAAATGAAGGGGCAGTTTAGAGAGAAAATAGGGGAATTCAGCTTCAGATTCAGTAAATTCAGATTCAGAATTTACTTTCAGGCGACAGCAGATAATCCCTGTAAAAAAATCTCCAGCAGGATGAAAACAGATTAAAGACAGAAAAAAATTATAAAACGCCGCCTACTTTCTATCTTTTTTGCAAATTTGGTGATGCTTTTACTGATATCCTTTTTTTTATTCTGCTTCCATATAATGTGGCAAAAATACCGAGGAAGACAGCAGAATAATGAAAGTACCAGGAAAAAATTATTTTAAGAAATATTGCCATTTCTTAAAAAACATAAATGGTTTAATAAAACCATTTATTAAAATCAACTCCCATGCCTAAGAACATCAAAACCAAACGAGATAGAATACCCAGCGCTGGCAACGGTACAACAAACGGGCATCCTCAGACATGCTGGAGGGAAGACCTCTTTGGAAAGCAAAGTGGCGGTGTCCACTGAGAGCCATAAGGTGTTAATATGTTACTCCCAGGAATCTATCCTGAGGAAACACGCAAAAGAAAGCAATAGGTATGTTCAATGATCAGATGAGGGCATTGGTTGCCTAAAGACTCTCATTTTCTATCATAAAAACTCGTAGTAAAAACTGGAAGCCACTTAAATATCTAACCGTAAAGGGACGGGCTAACAACATTATAGGGCCTTGGTGGAATTATTCCACAGGCATTGAAAGGCTAGTTATACAGACCATGTGGTAACAGGGAAATCTTTTTTCTTCATTTTCTGTAATTTTAAATGGAGAAATAAAAACCAGGCAGGATCTGTGATTGTAAGACATTATCACAATAACACCTGTGTGACGGAGGCATGATTTGGGGCGCGTTCTTTTCCCTCCATTTTTCGCTTTGCTTCAGAGACCCCCTACGCGGCTGTGAACGCTGAAACCAGTCAGTGGGGCAGTACCTTGGCTCCATCTACGCTGATGATCCGATAGCTGTTCCTTATGACATCGTAGAAGTAGGAAACAGTGACGGCCTGCTTGCTGGCAGGCACCCAGTTCTTCTTGGTGTTGGGGTCAATCTGGAAGACGTGCGCTCGGGTGGTGAATATGGGCTGTTCTCTGCCAGAGGAGAGATAGGCACATGAAGCAATGGAGCGCAGCTTTATGTATAATTTATGATTTATAAACCACCTACTATCCCCAAAGATTTTAGTAGCTTACAGGGAAAGATACATATGCATGAGGACAATTAAAATTAAAAAAGGGAAGAGAGGAGAAAGGGAGGCACCAGAGAGGTAGTTACTGAAACCTAACACCCCGAGCCTGTGGGGCTACTGGCCTCACAATCAATTTGCTTAAAATGCAACTCCTTGTCCAGTGAGTGTTTCTGCATTCTGTCAAGTGTTCCATTCTTTTTCTGAGGTCCTGCTGGCATTGTTAGGAATTTGCAACAAATTTACTTTGGGAGAGTCTGCAAGAATTTTAGGATTTTGCCAACCATTTGCAACTTCATTTATTTCTATTAAGTACTTCTCAAATTCATAGCATTTTACAAATAATGCATTCATTCACAATTGACTAAGCCTTAAAGTTTCATGTTTCCAACTTAAGAATTTATTGAGTTTTATGTGAAATTCATCAGATCTATCTCTTTTGCTATTCTTGCCTCTGTATTGCTGCTTTTTCACTCCATATACCTGTAAATTCTTTGGGTGATTATTAAGCTAGTTAGCACATTATCTATTCTTCTGTTGGGTGGGAAATTAATTAGATCTTGCTAAGAAGCATTAAGAGATAAGGCAGATGTATAAAAATTGTAATGGATTTCACTGCGTTTCATATTTTAAGGTATCTATTCCACAAAGTAACCAAATGAAACAGACTCATTACAAAATATTTAATTTTGAAAAAAGGCTCTTCAGGCACACTGGCTCAGAAATCCTTTTACGTGTTCAAAATAAGATAAAATGGGGGGGAAAGTGCCAGCAGAATGTAAAAATTATCCCATCATTCATTAGAACGCTACAGATTTAATAAGTACTTATTAGAGATAAAAATTGAATCAAAAGGTTACCTAGACAAATTAATTTTTTAAATCATTACAATGTCAAAAGACATTACCTAAAAGAATAAAACACCCCAATGGAGACAAAAATCAAAAGGGAAAAGTGAGTTTTAAGTGTTCTGGTCTCTAGATAGGGTGGTCTTAGGCGAAAGCAGTCTTTGAACCCACGCTGACTATAGGAGGCTCATTACTGGAAAGAAAACTCTTGCTAAGGAGAAAGACTTTCTCCCAGAAAAGCAATGTACTATCTGAGCATCCTGCAAGGGAGCCTGAACCACGCCATGAATACCGGCATCAACTGTCAGCTGCCGTTGCAGAGAAATGCAGGAACTATTTGCGTGACTGTTTCTCCAAAAGAATACAAGCCAAGAGCATGTCATTTGTGCCACATCAATGCAGCTGCTTTGAGAGGCTGGCTTTCCAGAAGAACGCACAGAGACCAGCACTCTCTCCCCCTGGAACTTTCCTTCCAGATCCCGGGAGCAGGACAGGTGCCTCTGGGAATGGATTACTAGGATGCTTCTCTTCCCTCAACAGTGACCAAGTTCACTCACTCACTCAGTCCAACAGCGACACCCTCCCGGCAGCAGGGCACTGGCCGTAGGAGCAAAGGGGATATCCGGTCTGTGCCTGCCCACGTCTGCTGTCGAGGGCAGCCTGTGGGGAGCGGGTGCGTGTGAACACAGGACCCCTCATCAAGCCATGCGGGCAGTCTGACACCGGGAGGCCCAGCTGCGCTGCTGCCAGCCCAGGCGCAGTATTGAGTATTTGGTCATCGTCTAAGGCACCGCCACAGAGAACTCCGGCTCACTCGGTATTCTCCGGCCCATGTGACAGAAGGGAGCAATGGAAAGGGCAGCGATACAGACGAGGTTTTTAAAGATCAAGTTATGCTGAATTCTCTGCCTCCCTGTGCAGAGCACTAGCAAGCTAGGCAGGGGTCTTCCCTGGGAAGGATCGGGCTTTCAGACCTTCCTCCCTCATGTCCTCCACACCGAGGAAGAAGCATTGGGTCTAGTTCCGCACCGAGACCTGTGACGGCATCAGCTGGGACACTTCAACTCAAAACACAAATGCCCCAGCCCCACCCCCAGCCTGGCCCCCAGGGACTTGGCTCTCCAGGGCAGGGGCCTGAGTGGCTCTGTTCTTCACAGAGCTCCCAGTGACTTTTATCCTCAAAGAAGCTGGGGAGATACTCACGTTAGACACTATCAGATAATCTAGAAAAAAAATGGAAGAAGTGACAGATATAGCCAGCATCTCTTCTGCCATTCACACAGCTGACTGTGAGTGACAGGGAGTGTCTCCAGAATGTCCCCCCACAGCCCACGAGAGACAACAGTGGGACCAAGAACAGGATCTTTGAGTACAAAGGATGGGGAGGGGCAAGGGGAGGCGGAGGTGCTCCGGTCAGGAAGAGGGCAGCTTGAGGTGGCCAAGCAGTGACCTTCTTCAAACGCTCCAGGTCCCTGCAGCCCACAGCAGTGAGAAAGGGAAGGCGGCAAAGCAGAGAGAGACAGAGAAGGAGGGACAGGGAGACAAGAAACGATGGCAGAGCCTTCTGACCAGGGACAAGCAAATGCAGCGCGTCATCTGCTTGGCATGGTTCAGGTCAAAGTGCACGCGCAGACGAGGAGGCCCATCTCCAAATCCGCCTGCTCAGCGCTGGGAACGAACTGAGGCCGCAACAGGTTGCTCTCAGGACCCCAACCAGAAACGCAATTTCTTGGGAGAGCAGGGCTGGCCACAGCTTCGGTGGCTGCTAAACCGTGAGGAGAGGCCCTGAGACCTGGCAGGGAGCTGCAGGGACGCCCGGCAGCCCCGCCCAGAGGGCGGGCACCAGGGCCGCTGGTCCTCAGTCCCGAGGACCTGCACAGCCAGTCTGGCAGCAGCTTGGTACCCAGGAAACTGCCCAAAGGATTGGGATTTCCACATGCATAACAAAGTCTGAGACCACTGGGATGTTCTATTTTATTCCTCTAAAATTCAAAAGTGTAATGGTATTTAAAGAAAAGGCCAAAAATACACAATGGTAAAAAGAAAAGCCGGTGGCTAATAGCTACTGACTGCTTACCCTTCTGCCAGGCTTCACCTGCGATCCCTCATTTAGGATCACAGCGACCCCATGGGGAAGGCGCCGCACAGGTGGAGAAGTCGGGGTGCAGAAAGGCCAAGGCCAGCCTCGGGTCACGCAGGCAGTAAGTGGCAGGTTGGTGGGTTGGCCGATCAGAGAGGTGAAGTCAGCGCAGATGACACGGACACCCTCCCTCTTAAATATTAGGCTGTACTCACACCCCGAAATAACAGTGCCTGCACCGGCCAGCTTCTGATGTGTTCCCAGCGACCCCGCCTCCTGGTACCCACACCCTGCTGGAACTCCCTCCCTCTGAGCAGGGGTGGGACCTGGGACTTGTTTAAACCAAGAGAATATGGCTGAGGTGATGGGATGTCACGTGTGCGAGCAGGTTACAGAGGCCCGTGACTTCCGTCATGGTCGCAGACTCCCGCGGGGGAGCCTCTCTCGCCGGCTGTGATGAAGCAGGCTGCCACAGCGGGGAGGCCCACACGGCAGGAAGGGAGGGTGGCCTGCAGCCAAGCAGCCAGGCCCGCACTGAGGCCCTTAGTCTAAAGCCACTCAAGGGACTGGGATTCTGCCAACAATTGCCTGGAAGCTGGGCAGTCGATCTTTCCACAGCTGAGCCTTCAGGTGAGACCCCAGCCCTGGATTAACAACTGGATGACACCTTCGAAGACAGAGGTCCCCAACCTCTGGGCCGAGGACTGGTCCAGGCCTCTTAGGAACCAGGTCACACAGCAGGGGGTGAGCTTGACTGTAATATGCTTGAAACATCCCCAAACCATCGCCCCACCCCCATCGGTGGAAAAATTTTCTTCCATGAAACTGGTCCCTGGTGCCAAAAAGGTTGGGGACCGCTGCTCTAAGAGACCCCGAAGCTGAGGACCCAGCTAAGCCACGCCTGGACTTCTGACCCATGGAAATGTGTTTTATCTGAATCTGCTAAGGTTGTGGCAGCTTATTATGCAGCAATAGATGACTAAGACAGCGACCTTCATAGACGTTAACTACACACCATGCAAATTACATATGTTCTCACTCAATCCTCCGACAGAGCTGCAAGTGGGTGGCATCATCCACACAGAACACGGAGGGTCACGGTGATTTCAGGCAACCTGCACAACAACCTTTACGTCTTTACGGGCGGAATCAGAGCACCTACAAACCTCGCCTCAAAACGCAGAAAAGGAGACCCCCAGCTCGGGCAGAGCATCTTGCCTCACCTGAGAAAGTGAACGAGATGGAACTGGGACACAAAAGTCAGCTCCCATAAGTGTGCAAATCAGTATAAATAGAAAATCCAGGAGAAGCAGAACTTTCAAACTCAGGAGGTCGCCTTTCCCACCCAGCAGGGACAAGCTGAAGAGAGTGCGTGTCAGAGAACAGAAGCCACCTTCATACCCAATTTGTCCCCCTCTTTGGTGTTGGAGGCTTAGGGAGTCTATTTCAAACAGACTCCCACTCCCTCTTCGGTGCTTTAAATAGAAGCAGATGTTTCCGGATGGCAGTGTTTCTCTAGGCAGACAATATAACCTACCGTTCCTAGTCTTTTTAGAGCTGAATAAACACCAATTGCTGTTCACTGAACACATTTTGGAGCCTGACAGTAATTGTCCCCAAGAATAATTAGACGCTGTGCAACAGATGTATGTTTGGAATATGAAAACCACTCAGCTTAGAATGGTTCTAAGCCAGAGAGACCACTCTGGCTTAGAATGAATTCTGGCTCCATGTAAAATGATTCTACAAATAACTGGTATGACTACTTTTTGAAGGAAAAAAGGAAAATAATGTTTTAATTTCTAATAATCCCTCACTTACAATGCTCAGCTCTGGGCTTTTTCTGATACGGACTTGTAAAACCTGACAATTTTTATTTCTACTTCCACTTGATTTGAGTGAAAACAAACCATTTGGGCATTATTTTACAGTCCTTCGGGTCTCATAGGGTACCCTTGCTTGTGTATCTGCCTTGAG